GGGCTACATAGGCGGATGGCGGCAGAAGTAGGCTCGCTGCCTCGAGGTGGCGGGTCTCGCTTCCACGGTAGGATGAGACGCGCGGGAGGAGGGTACCTCGTTATGGAGGGCGGAGGGCGCTGGACGGAAGCGTTTTTGATGTTGGTAAGACGGTGTGATGTGTGACATGGTGATCCTCGCTGCCATGTTTTGTGGGTGTCGATGTTATGCGTTATAGCCATGAGTTTCCGGGTACACGTGGTTCATAATGTGCCGGTGCGTGGGTCTTGGTTATGTGTATGTTGGCGCCGGGTTGACATGAATCGTGTTCGGACGAGACCGGGGCACGGTAGGTCTAGGAGGCTGCTTGTTTTGGGTAGTGCATGAAAGGGTGGGCATGTTCGACTTTATTTTCCCAGTTAGGATCGAATGAATCGTAAGCGTTGTTGTTGTCGTCGATATTGTATCTGTATTAAATTGGTTGTGCAGGGTTATTGTTATACAAATAATCTCGGTTTGCAGCACGCCAGAAACCGCCATGGTCGCAAAAAACTCCTGATGGTATCTATCATACAACGCAAGTTTCTTCGCGTGGGAAAAACATTGCTCCAGGTTGCAAACCGGACGGGGACGCACACACACCACTAAGAATTGGGGTCTTTTCGAGTCCCATCGCCAACCAAACGTATCCTCCATGGCGATGCTACGAAAAAACGAAGACGTTGACTCAACTATGCGCAAAAAAAAAACACTAGCCCCCCCCCCCGAAACCACAACAAAAAAAAATAGCCACGGCCCTCGCAAGAAGCAAGCCTTACCGTGAGGGTGGGAAAAAAAAACACCCTCGGGTTCGTTTGCTGCCGGCGCTGACTCTACCATGCGCAAAATAAAACAACCCCCCTAAAACAAGCCGCCCCCCCCGGTGTTTGCCATCGGGATTGGGTTTTCGTCGCTTGGCAACGACGTTGTAAATCAAGCCAATTCACTTCGTGAACTCGGCAACCAGGTTACCGTTTTTTTTTTTACCTCCGTTTATTTTTTTGGCGGTAACCATAGTGGTGGTCGAGTAGATCATGTTGTGCGGGGTGGATAACCCTCACTCCGCGCAAGGGGGATGATCGCACCACGTTGTGTTAAAATGGTCAAGCACCCTCGAGACAGTTATACAGTGCTTACTACTGTCTCTCGAAGT